GCAGGTGTTGTCTTCTGGAAGTGATTGTTTGTTGTGGAATAGGATCTGTGATGTTCTCTATAATGTCTGTAAGGGAAACACACACTCTATATGTGCTGTTTACATGTATTTCAGCTGATGTGGAGAGCGAGTGCATGCTTTATTAAACTAATACTGGATTATTTTAAGTGTGTGTTCTGCTCTACAGAAGCTGTTCCTCCGCCCCGTGCAGAGCTGCATTATGGGTGTTTTACGTTATAACTAGCGTGGCTCAAACGATGGATCTGCCGCAGAGAAACTCCGGGTTTTAGGAAACACTCGTCACTACAGCGCTCTCTCACAGACCATGCAGTGCTATGATGGCTCAGCCGCCAGTTACATCACTGTTTGGGAAACGCACCACTGATCAGTAGTGAGTGAGTGAGAGTGTGTGTGTGTGTGTGTGTGTGTGTGTGTGCGTACCTGCGATTCACACACAGTCGGTATGGAGCTGTCAGAGGTCAGAGATGAGGCTGGTGATGGAGGCTCTGTCTTCACCTGGAAAACTGCAGAGCACAGAGTCTATGTAGTTACTATGTAGTAATGAGCTATTAACAGGTCGGGACAGAATCTGTGGACATCTGCTGCTGTTTCTGCTGAGAATTTAGTAAAACATCTGCAGATTTATGCTGAATTATTGTAGGAGGATCAGAACTAAACTAATATATGGAATAATAATAATAATAATAATAGCAGCTGTTTAACTCTTACTTCATGTTTACAGTGCAAACCCATCCAGATCCACTTATCAGGTAAAGCGAGTGTGTGATATAATCTAGTGTCAGACAGAACACATGACTGCACACACTGAACACACACACACTCAACACTCCCATATCAGTCAATCCTCTCACTGACAACTGAATAAGTACACACGCACACACATTTACACAGGTAAATCAATAGACTCAGTGATGGGCTGAAGATCTGCATATTTCTGCGTGCGTAGGCTCTGTGTGTGTGTGTATGTGTGTGTGTGTGTGTGTGTCTAGGTATTAGCACAGAAGCAGAGACTCACACATGTCCACCGGCAGAGGCTGAGTTACAGTTGCTTCATCCCTCAAGATGGACAGATCTCCTAACACACACACACACACATACATAAACGCACACACACACACACACACACACACACACACACACACACACACACACACACACACTTGTGGGCTAAAAAAAAAAAATTAGAAGGGGGACCCTTGGATTTGCTATAGCCCCAGGGTCCAATGTGTTCTTAATCCGGCCCTGCCCGCATTTGCATACATACACTGTACAAAACAAACAATAAATCAACACAAAAACAC